CTTTACAAGGCTTGTTTAAATCATGTAAACCATTTTCCTTAATCCCTACAAGCGTTATTTCAATCCGAGATGGGGCAAATATAATTTGAGGACAGCGATATCGTGTTCAAGCCATCGGTGTTCTTTTTCAAATCCGTTCATGTTTTGGTGTTTAGTTCGTTGCTTTCATTGGTGATCTTTTTTTTCTGGTTTTGGTTCATTGCTTTATTCTCCGATCTCTCAAGTGGAGGTCATTAAATTTCTCAAAATTCTCAAACTATATCCTTGCGCAATGAAGAATAAAAACAGTATTGCTACAATCAAGTTGATGAATCAAGATCATGTACGGATGGATCGTTTTGATGGAACGAATTTTACAAGATGGCAAGATAAACTGAAGTTTCTACTAACAGCGTTAAAGATAATTTACATGCTTGATCAGGAATTTGCATCACTACCGGAACCAACAAATGGAGAAACCGATGCGGTGAGGGCTGAAAGACAAAAGCGCTAAGAAGATGAACTCATATGTCGCGGTCACATTCTGAATGCATTATCGGACCAATTATATGATCTCTAAACCAACACAACATTGACAATGAAAATATGGGATGTTTTGGAGAGTAAGTACAAAGTTGAAGAAGAAGACACTAAGAAATTTTTAATCCACTATGTGGCACATTTTGTTGAAAATAAAAATAAAAACACAATACTAATTACGTAGGTGAGAGATGACGAAATCTATATTTAATGTCCATTTAAAATTTAGTAACACTATAAATGAGCATTCTAAAATTATTATATTTTTTTCCAATCTTTTATTTTAATCAACTTCTCTCTAAATTATTATATTATTTTTCTCCATTGAAATTTGAAATACTTTTAATACATTTAACAAACTCCGTCTGTATTCTAAAATGTTAATTTAAAGAGTCTTTTTTAATATAATTTTAAGAATTGACTCTTCAAATATAAAGTAACTTATGTTTAAAGAATCTCTTGGAAATACATTTAGTATACCATAGAAACATTGTTTATTTAAGTGCATAAAAGTTGTGTACCTTACGAAATGTATAGATAAAACAATAAGTGTGTAGATAAAAAAAAAAATTTGTCGAAGTTAAGATTTGTCTGGGAATGGGCAAAAAAATTGAAAAATTGACCAAATCAGCCAAACCTGAACTATGCCTAAACCTAGGTTTGCCAAACAGGCACAAAATAGCATTGCTCTAGTCTAGGGATGGACATTTGGTGGTTTAGTCCAAGTATCTTGAGAATCGAGCAACTTCCCAGAACTGTGAAATGGAACAATTTGTCGTACAAGGAAAAAAAATTCGAAATCAGATCAGAACTGATGGTTAATAGTCCCATTTTTTATACTTCAAAAAACAAATTTTCAAAATGTAAATTGTCTGGTGATTAGTGGTGGCAAAAAAGCTCAGAGACTTGGACGGCTCGGGTTTGGCTCAGAAAAAGCTCGAGCCGAGCCTGGGCTAGCCCGTGTCAAGCAATTTTTATATATATAAAAAAAAGAATTTGAAATTTTATAATTTCTTTAATTTATATCACGCATAAAATGTACTATTTTTTTAAATTATGAGTATTGAAGTAGTGACATATCTTTTGAAATAACAAATAACTAAGCATATAACTTTGTCTAGTCTTAATGAGAATATAAATATTTATCAACTTCCAACGTATTCCACTAAAATCTAGTCACTTTCATAAAATTACACCCTTACAAGTTACAATGACCTTTACTACGTACTTTTACAATTTATATTTTAAAAAAAAACCCCCCCCCCGAGCCGGCTCGGGCCGCAAGGGTCGAGCCTCATTTTTTTTGGCCGGACTCAGCTCGGCTCGGGCCAAAAAAAGCTCGGGCTCGGTTTGAACTTTTTTTTCCGGCTCGGCTCGTTGACACACTACTTGTGATGTACTTTTTTTTTTTCAATTTCATACTTTATATTTGAAACAATCAAATATATCGAAGGATAATTAGCACATAACGTTCCCACATTTCACTGTTATTGTGGAAAACTTTCTTACCTTTTATTTTTTGGTATTTTCACTCTTATTTTCACATTTCATTGCGTAAAAGTCATTTTCATCGATTTTCTCAAATAAAAATTGTGAATTGACAAATATACCCTTCTATTTAAATAAAATAAAATAAAAGGAAAAAAGAAAAAATTAATTGCAATCATAGTTCCAAATTTCTTGAAAAGCACAAATGAGTCTCAAATAAATTATTAAAAGGGTAATTAGCACATAATATCCCTTACCTTTTACTATTATTGCAAAAAAGTTCATACATTTTAGGCATTTTCACCCTCAATTATACATTTAATTGCGCAAACTATCATTTCTATCTATTTTCATCCAATTTTTTAATAAAAGTTGTGAAATGATGAATATACTCTCGTATTTAAATAAAAAGCTAAAGAACTAATTGCAATCATAGTTCCAAATTGTTTTTAAAAAGTGCAAACAAGTCCCCAATAAATTATTAACAAAAAAAATTAATTTTTCAAAAAAAGTTCGAACGAGTCCCAATTCAATTTATTTAAAATTTTAAAAAAATTAAAAATTAAATAGTGCAAACGAGCCCAAAATAAATTATTAAAGAATTAGAAATTTTAAAAAAATATGTTTTTATTTAAAAATGAGGGTACATTCATTATTTCACATTTCTTTATTGAAAAATTGGATGAAAATGGATGGAAATGATGGTTTGCACAATCAAATGTGTAATTAAAAGTGAAAATACCAAAAAATGAAAGGTATGAACGTTTTTCGTAATAACGGTGAAAGATAGGGAAATTATGTACTAATTACCATTTTAATAATTTATTTGTAATTTATTTGCGCTTTTAAAAAAATTGGGATTGTGGTTGCAATTAATACTTTTCTTTTTCTTTTTCTTTTTCTTTTTTAAATTTAAAGAGAGAGGTATATTCGTCATTTCATAATTTTTAATTGAAAAAATAGGTGAAAGGACCTTTTGCGCAATAAAAGATAGAAATAATGGTGAAAATGCCCAAAAATAAAAGGTATGTACGTTTTCCTCAATAACAATAAAATGTGGGACGTTATGTGCTAATTACCCTTATACCGAATTCACATCGATAAGTTACAATTATTGAGATATTATATAAAAAGAAAAAGTGCCCACCCTACTGCAAACACATGCCCACATTTTTATAGTTTTCATTCCAAGTAAGCTTTTATTGGTCCTTTATCTTTTTAGGCACATCTATATATTATCCATTATTGTGCACCGAACTGACATTAGCCAATCATCTTCTGATTTCATCAAGTTGACTCAACATGATCTTCAAACTTTCTTCCTTAGCTGAATCAACATTTTGGATATTGACAATTTAATCCTTGAACTTTAAAAATCTTCTTTTTAGCTATGTTTTCGTTCATTTCTTCTGAAATCAAATTCAATCATCTAGCTTTACCTGGCAAACAATATATACAAAAGATCCTGCATTCAGCCACAATTCAACAAAAGGAACTCCCAAATAGCCATATTTAACGGCTTAAATAAATGCATAAAATACACTTATCATGTTTTTTTGTCATGCTCTCCACATTGTCTATGAACTTGGTATAAATACTTTGATTCACCAGCTTAAATGTTTATATCAAGATTTAACATTAATACAAAATTAACAACCCTTTGGCTTTTTAGGCTTTATATATCACTTTTCGTAAGCATCTTTGATCTTCTCCATTGTTGCAGCCCATTCGTCTCCATGTTAATAACTTGAAAACTTGCCATCTCCAACTATTTCTCTCTCTACTTGTTTGATATGAATCAAAATTTTGAGGGGGTGATCTTGTTTGGATAAAATTTTGTTACGTACACATGGGGAAGGGGGTGAGCATTTTTTTTCATTTTTTATTTCACGTGGATCCCCATGTCGGTCTCACGCCATGTGAGTTTAGGTCACCCAAATCACAAATGGGCAAACATCTTCTGACACATCAGCTTAATTCTATTTTCTATACATAGGAGTGTTGTCAACCAGTTGTGTACAAGAAGCATAATTGTTAGCCGAAAGAAGGTCAGCATGGCCTTGTTGAGAAGGAATTGACTTTCCACATGTTCTTTAATTAATAATGCTGAATTTATACATAAACCATAACTTTTAATGTTGACTATCGTTGTTGGAAACAAAGCATGCAGAAGCTGTTAATTCGTAACTCCACCATATCCATTAATCTGTCTTAATTTGGTAGATAATTGATACAACTTTATGCACAAATAATTTTGCCAAACAAATACATATTTTACAGAACAAAACTTTCCCCATCTACTAACATAACAAAACTTGCCAAACAATTATGCTTCTTGTACACAGCTCGTTGATAACACTCCTAAGTATAGAAAATAGAATTAAGCTGATGTGCCAGAAGAGGTTTGCCCATTTGGGTGACCTAAACTCACATGGCGTGGGACCGATATGGGGACCCACGTGAAATAAAAAATGAAAAAAAAAATGCTCACCTCCTCCCCAATGTGTGTGTCCAGTGGTATTAAATATATGGAAATTTCAAATACATCATTAATACCAACTTGTTATTGTTCTAGAATTTTTAAAGAAAAATGTATTTGATTTCTTATTAATATATCAAAATTATGGAGATCAAACAGTGTTATGTTCTACT